TTGGAATTTGATTAGGTGCTTATAATTTATAGTCATAAATATTTGATATATCTTTAGTTATAGGTATAAGCCGGTTAGGTACCTATTCAATATATCAGGGATTACGAACACCTTTTTTGGGTATGCCAAATTGGTCTAATCAAGGTTTTGAACATTTTTCAAAAATACAAATACCATAATTTTTTATAATTTTAATTTTTCGCGTGCCATTTATATTTGACCAACGTTCCACTTTTGGTTGACGTACCAGCCCTGCTATATAATATAGTGTATAGATCAACAGTCATCGTCAATTCATATTTTTAAGGGCCACATTAGGAATTTTGAAATTGTTCGCAGCCATCAAAATTGAAGACACTACTGGTAAAAACCAATTAACAAAAATAATAAATCACAGAACTATGTAATGTATTATGATAATAAAAACGACGATTTTTACTTGTTTTCTTTTGCCGGTGAGCTAGATAAATTTGCCCTCAAGCCGCATAATATATGTGGCCTTCAGCGAGCCGTCACGCCATTTGGTAACCCCTAGCTGCTGCTATAGACTACAGGTATTAAGCATAAATTTATAAGATATAAATATATGTACCATGTACCTATATTTMGATCTTATGGCAATTTATATGTAAAATACATAGTAAAGTACTAAAGTGAATTATAAATTAATGGTATTAATTATTATAGTAAGATTCTGAGTGAACCTGATTCTATGTGTGTGACAAAATTCATTAAAATCACAAACAATTTATTTTGCAATTCAGAAATGTATGAAATGATAAATTTTTATAGTAAATTATAAAAAATTTTCAACGAGATTTCTCATAAATCAATTAGTATATTTTAACCAAAAAATCTAAAGTTTAGTAACAAAAAAAATTTGAATAGATATTTTAAGTTCAAATTTAGACGAAGTTAGTTTAATTAATATTTAATATAATGGAAAATAATGATTGTAGTAATATTTTTTAATTTAAAATTATTATTTGTGGGTACTTGAAACTTTTAAGAGGACTTAACACTGGCATTTGTTGTMTCCGTGTTAAACCTACCCACTTTTACTGATGTCAATCCAAAAAAGTAGTTTAATAAAAAAAAAAAAACGCCATGGTAGCACACTAGCACCGGTGCGGCGGTATGCTTCAGCTCCACCAAAAAAAAAAAAAAATAAGAAATTAAAAATTATTCCTTTGCGGTCTATGAAAGTTATGTATAAAATGTATATAGCTTTACATAAATTGAAATCTAAAATAAAACCMTTGAAACCTCGACATATGTATGCTAAACTTATAGGAGACCCTTGTTAAACCAATTGTTACCTAGCTACTATGTAAGAGGTATAATAATTGTCGGTAGAGGTTTTCAAAGTAATGCGATTAGTATGGATGTGGGTTGCTAATTTTGTCTAGATTTAGACCATTTTTAAGTATAAAAAAAGTTGAAAGTAATAATATTAAAAAACCGTGATATTATAACCTATGGATAGTTATTATACATATGCATAGATTGAGTACCTATACTTATACATTTAATTTATTTGTAGGTACCTACTAAGTACTAATAAACTATATTATGCGCAATGATAATTTTTATCTGTTATGATGTTATAGAATTACTACAATACCGCCAGAACCGGTGTGATTGCTATAAATTAAAATAATGTTATTTAATGTGTTCTTAAATTCCAACGATATTAATCATAATTATTAATAAATAATAAATGTTAATATATCTATAGAGTGTTATTGAAATATTTTATAGTTTATTAGTGAGAAACTTAGCCATTTAACCCTTTAATGTTTAATTACATTACCAATTGATTAAGTATAAAGTATTTAATGTATAATATGACGTATTGTATACTTATTGATTATAGGTAATGATTAATGATCACCATGGTTCATAATTCATAATTCATATGGTTATAATTCCAAATATAATTAGATATGTCAGCAAACTAAGCAAACAAAATATGTGGAACCTCGACAAAGCAGACGTCACGCAATAAGGTACAAGTAAGAAACATAGGTACCTACCTATATTGATATTTTATCAGATATAAATGATATATAATACCTACGATCCTACGTTTAGGATAAGWTTCCCGAAATTACTTACTTTATATTATCTGGCTTAAGATATGCGTACTAGATATTTTTATTTTATTTTAATTGAGCCTCAGCAACAAAGGTTATTGGCTATAAACATTRATATTTTTTTACACAAGTATGAAGCATTAACAATAATATTATATACATAACAATAATAATAGTATGAAAAAAAAGATTRAAATATATCTAGATTAAATTAGTTGGTATAGTACTAGGTATTTATAACACAATAATTATAGGTATCTTATCTAACTGGTGTTATGGATGCAACTACGAGAGCATGATCATCACGATTAAAATTTTGAATTTTTTAATATGCATGCCTTATATTCCTTATAACTACAACTATCTACTTAAATACCCAATAGAAATAATAATTAATAGAATCGCTTTATAAATTGTATAATAGAAAATAGAAATACATAATACCTACTCACTATAGACTACTATAGGATTGAATCAATGACAAAAAAGCTACAGATGAAAAAGACACAAAATAATCTATGTAGAATGTAGGCATACTACAGCACGGACGCATAGTGCTATGAGCCTATGAAAGTATGAACAGTGTAATAAAGTTAAGTGTAAAGTCCATTTAAGTACCTAAGTTTTGTCACGCGCATTTCACTTTCAACTTTTTATATACAATAATTTACATGCTAGAACAACGTGGAATGTTGGATATCAGACAAACAACTAAAAAGAGAGTGGAGCATAGGCGTGCGCACAGGGGCAGCAAGGTGTGCTCTTGCTGCTCCTGGACGGTTTGAATATATTTGTATGGGCCGAACTATTACTATATAATAATAACATAACATAATAATAAAGAATAATGTGTTATTGATATTTGATGTATTTTTAATTTTGATTTGGTATACCGGTGTTGAGCAAAAACAATCTATGATTAACCAATGGTTATCGTTTAAAATATTTTTATTTAAAGGTCAAAAGTTAAATTTTGATTTTGAGCTTAAAAATGTTAACTTAATACCCATGTATGGGCMGGTAAAAATATTCGCTGCCCCTGACTTGAAACTCTGCGCACGCCTATGGAGTGGAGTCTTTGCATTTCAAAATTATATAGTTGACTGCAATCGCCCTTCTGTTTAGTTTTAATTTTAAAAATAGTTAACAGATAAGAGTTGTCTACGAATGAAAGACGAAACAGTGTTTCGTCTTTCATTCKTTGAACTATTGGTGTTTCGGAAACACCAATAGTTCAAATTATAAAGGCCAAAGGGCGATTTAAAAACATAAAACATCAAAACTTTACAAATTAATGAACAATATATGAGTTTCAGAGAATCAGGTCAATAAATATTAAAACCAAAATATCCAATTTAAAAAAAAATAGAAAATCGTTTTAATAAATTAACACTAACATTCTGAAACGTCGAAATACCAAAGACATATTCAGTGGCAAAACGATTGTGTTCTTTGAGAAGCGATTGCTTCTCGATTTTTTTAAGGTTTGGAGGTAAATGTTTATTGAAAAAAAAAATATTTTAAATATCTAATAGGTACGGTAAGTCGGTGGGTGGGTGTGTAAATTGTAAGTTTGCTTATGGGTTGTTTTWGGTTCGTTTCGCCACTGGACATATTAATACGTTTTTTTTGCGATATACCTCCTCAAATAATATTATATACAATTTAAGTTCAATTATAAAATAATTCAATTCCGAATTATTTTATATTYTAACTTATGTTAATTTTATATGATTTTGAGTATAATAACATTTTTATAGTAGTTTATAGTATTTATTTATAAAAAAGATTTTTCTACATTTTTAAATTTTGATATTTTGTCTTTAACTATTTTGACCATAAATAATAAAGATACGGATAGAACCTAACGGTCTTATCAGCGTTTATTAAGGGGTATAATTATTACTACAATCACAGAACAATTACAATTAAGGCCAATTAGGCCAAATAAGTATATATATCTACCTATATCGAATGACGAGACGTATCGACTATCAATATAAAGGCATTGATAAAAAGGCCTCAATTGCATTTCCCTCTGGAAACGCGGCCTCAAATATACTTAACATAATTGTTAAATCGTGGCCTATTAATATCTTTACTATCTATGATTCTGACCGATTTCCTAAATAATAATTACAATTTTTTACAGCTATTACTTGCATAATAGTATAATACCATACCAACTCTTAATATTTAAATTATTATATTGATTATTAATTTAAGAATATATCAGACCAATGTGGATTAGTCCATTATTAATCAACTTTTTTTTTTGTCTTTTATCAACTATCATTATCATTGTAATTTATATTTTATAGAAAATTATGTTAAATAAAAGTACATTATTTTAACACAAACAATATTTGAAAGTGGGATGCRCGTTACGAGAAACTTAGTAGGTGCCTAAAGCTTCCTTCATGATCATGACTCGTGTCTTTTTAGTTTTTAACATAATTAACATATATGATATGATAAGATAAAATTGCGCTAATACGTTGATGAATAATTGCTACAGGATGCTGTAGAAATTAATATCACAGAATTCTATTCTAATATAATAATATATGTTAATAAATATTAAATAATAATGCAACAAAATAATCACGAGATATCGCATTGATTGCATTGTGTTTATTGTTATCATAATACACCGAGTGTTTTCACTTCATAATCAGTAGTTAATCATATCAACAATAATAATAAATCATTAATTATTCGTAGGTAATTCATTTACTCATTCAACATTTTACATAGTCATTAGTTGTTACGTACAATTTAATTAGATTATTAACTACATTAAAATAGAGAAATACAATTTTGTACATTATTACTTTTAAAAACGAATAATTATTTTTATACTTAATTTTTACAGTGTATCAGTGTATATTTTATAATTCAAATTTAAATTACTTAGTTTTTGTCAGATGTATAATTTTAATTATATTAATAAAATATATTAAAAAATGTCTGACATAACTGAAAATAAAGAGGATGCTACATCTAGCAATATTATGAAAGAAAATGCACATTCACAAATTAATACCACAGGTAAATATTTTATGTACATACCTTTAATTATTTATAAATATTTTATCTTGATAAAAAATCACGACTTCTTTTTCTTCGTTGACATCTTATAATACTCCAAATTAAAAGTAAAATAAGAAGTAATAAAACTATTGCTGATAGAACTATTAATGAAATTTCTGCGAAATTTAAGTATTCTGCAACACAAAATATAATTTATGGCAGGCAAATTGTGTTTTACTGGTGAAAGTAAATGTTACTGATTAAATTTTCAATAATCTGCTAGTCCAGAGAAATTTATTGCTAAAAATCTGCACCACATTGTCATTAAGAGGACATTTTACCCATGTATTGTCTCTGTCTTACAAGTGTGTAACATACCGAWTTTTTCACTCAGTAGAACACGTTTAGCTCCTCGAGTTTAAAATTTAAAGTGAATTGACSTCTTATAAAAATTAAAGGTAACATTATTATCGAGGGCTTATCGTGGGATTTTGATTATATTTTAATTTTAAAGCGAGTTATTGGTATTTTAAAATATACAAACAATTTACAATTTTAAAATACTCATAGCCTTAAAAGTTAAAATCAGTAGGTAACAAGTAATAGGTACCTATTCGATTTATAAAATTAGTACTATTACTTACGTTTTTCTGCATCTATTGTTTTTTTTTGCACATTGCCTCGTAAATCTGTGGCAATGATTTCAAATTTTGGAAAACAACATGTTGCTGTGTAATATGCTATTACTGGTTCTTTAGTTCCGATAGTAAACTCACTACGGAACCGTAAAGCATTTGGTATTGATGAGATCATAGCTAATCCTAAAATACATACATTTTAATTTAGAATAATAATGTAAAAGCAATCATTATTTTCTAAAAACTATAATAARWTATTTATTRTTGATTATTCAATTGTTTTTAAAATTGTCAATTTGTTAATGCATTTAAAAATTAAAAATCAGGTTTGTAGGTACCTTACTCAACTATTTTGTTCTTTTGATATTGTTATTTAGGATGATTAAGGGCTATAGATTTTTTCACATTAGTTTTAAAAAATAATAAAATAAAATACTAAAACTATTTTTTTAAATATTTACCTGAATTTTCATCTTGAATAGTTATTTCAATATTCCATTTTTCTGATGCACATGTGTGTGGAGTATCTGCAAAACGACAATCACCATTAAATATATAATCTATTGTTGGACGTGTAGTATCTCCTGCCTGAAAAATGAAAATAATGTATATATTCATTATTCAATAGTTAATGAAAACATATGTTGGTATTTTCAAAATCTTACTAGTTTTCCAATGTAAAAATTAACTTTTATAGTTTCAAATTCTGGTTGAAGAACAGAAAATGTAATTTGGTCATTTGATCCTTCTGGTCCTATTACCTCCAAAACTACCATCACATCAAATGGTGGACTATTTGGAGGTAGTATTATACTAAAATATTAAAATATTTTTTAAGTACAAAACAAATTAAAGATTATAATTATACTACAAATTTAAAGTATATCTTAAATATTAGATTGTAATAAAAAATGTTTACAATAGTAATTTTTTTTTAAATTTTCAATCGTATTTAAATTGTTATTGTTGTTAAAAAGTCATAAACGTAAATTAAGAATCATTAGTTTAAATATCAAAAAAGTTAATTTTAATAAGTGTGCATTTTGGCCAAACAGTATTTTAAATTTAAATCTTAGTGTTCAATATTCATTCTTATTTTACATTTATATTATCATAAGTCATAACAATTATCATATAGCATAGTAATAATAACTATAAATAATGCACTTACCTTGTAGGTAAAACTGATCTTATAAGACCCATTTGATCATAACAATCAAAATTATATTCCATAGGTATCCAATTTTTATTAATGACTCTGAAATATAACTTAACTGTTTCTCCTGAAACTCCCGTTAAAACAGAATAAGGAGATAGTTCCAGTCTAAAACTTTTAGCTCCATCTATCATTTCATCTGACCATGATTTATCAGAAGCTTTATCTATAAAATATGATAATTAATTACATTTAGACATAGAGTAATATTATTATATTATCATAAAATTACTCTATGCACTTAAAGCACTCCATACTCGCATGTATAATTGTTACCATCTAAATAATGCATAACAATAAAAAATGTACTTTCAGCAGTTTAAATTTTGCTATTTAGCTTAAATTTTATAATGAATTTACCTAGTATCAAACTTRATGATACATGAATATGTACAATATTGTTCATAAAAAGTTCATAACTTGCTTAAAAATTAAAATATTAATATTAAAAACAAAAAAAATAAACAGTGAATATAGAAAATATTTAAATGTGTTTTTATTCTATGTTCAGTGTTCACTTTTATGTTTGTAGACTAAATGTACATTCTAATTCTTTATCTCTCATTAAATTATAAAGGTAGTTTTATTCACGGTCAAAGTGATTTTTTTATTTATTCAGATTAAAACATTTAAACATTCAATGCCATATGCATGGGGGAATGGATGAGTAATGGATGAAATGGTACAGAAACCCCAAAGAATGGATATTATTTTAAATATACAAATGRAATAAATAAATTAAAAATTTTGAATTTTAAGACAAGTCAAAAGTACCAAATGTCATGCTTAAAACTATGATATGTTATAAGTAAAATCAAAGTTTATTTAAGTGCATCTTACATAAATGGAATAAATTAACCCTTGATAAAATCCTGACCATTCAGTGTCATCTAATGCACTGATTTAAGCTAACAATAAAAAACTTGGAACTGCTGACTGTAAATATTAGTATGTTATGCAGTATTAAGATGTCATATTAAATAAATTATTTTTGGAATTATTTGGTTCAAACAATTCAAACAATTAGTTATAGTGAGATTGAGAATTTTTTTTTTTTTTGTTTAACTCTAAGTTTGCTATAATTATTTTTTAATAAAAGGCAAATTAAAAAAAAAAAACTCTAAGTTCCTTAATTTACATTTAAAAATTATGAAGCCAAAATAAATATTACTTAATCTTGTCAGTTAAAGTATGGCTCTAAATAGTTAATATCCCAAGTATAAATATGATATAAATCTTATCCTTATTGACAAACTTAAAATTTCCAGATCAAAACAATTTGAACTTCAAACACTTATAAAAAATTATTTTGACTTTACAGTAAACTTCTAGAACAATTTATATGGGAGCTTKAATTACATTTTTATTCAAGTTTTTCGGTTGTGACTAAATTGTTTGCTTATTCTTAAAAAAATTCAAAATTGAATGTGTTTATAAAAAGCTTAAATAAGGTTTAAACAGTTTTTAAATTTAATTGTATGTATAAATTTACGTAATATGCAGTGGATTGTTTCAAGTTGCTACCATTCAATAATATTTTTCAATCATAACAAAAKATCAAAAATCATCATAATAAAATAAATATGTATAGTTTTTAATGTGTAGCTTTACACTGGACTTTTTTTTAAATTCCGGTACAAATAACTTATGAGGCTTCTTGTTTTGAATTTTAAAACTTCATGATAAAGCACATTATTTCATCAACATTTATAGAAAAAAAGTAAATCATTAATTTTGGAGTAGAAATATTTGGAAAATTATACAATGTATAATGTACATGCTAATATAAACAAATAGAGTTAATGAATTACAAAWAAATTTGAAAATTAATTTTGTTAACTATTTCTTGGTTCAACAAAATAATTTTACMACGATTTAACTTAAAATTGTCTGGTTTTCAACTAGAATCACTTTCCTGCTTGAAGAGAGTTTTGAAGTTGAAGATTAATACATTTCTACAATGCTACAATCCATACACTCATCAACAGGGCCGGCGAAAGCTATGGGCGACCTGGGCGACTGCCCAGGGCGCCAGCACGTAGRGGCGCCAAACTGAAAATTATTTTTATTTATTTATCTTTTAAAACGCATTAACAATCTATACAATTTGAAATATTCACTATCTAATGTCGTTTTAATTGAAGATGCATCTTCAATTGTCTCATATTAGTCATATTTGTAGAATATAAGAATAATATACCAGTGCATCGATACCGCTGGTTTTGATGTAAAAATAATACATGGAATTATGGAAGCATACCACCGCATTTGTG